AGTAATTGGGAAAGATGATTAGTCAACATACGGCAGTGTGTATACAAAATGCAAAAATAAATATTACTGTTTTCGTTCTGGTTAATTGATTGAATAGCAATGTATTGTGGATTTACCAAATGGAGGCTCGCAATTTTGGCAGGATTTCGTGTGAGAGTCGCAGAAAATAGAAGCTTTTGAATCTTTTGCAATATTAATGTAAATATTATTGAGTCTTTAGAGAGTAACAGGATCATATAATAAGGTATTATAATGTCTTACCGCTGATGTTTTAGATTCTGAAATGTCAACTTTCGGAATGCGTAATAATGATTCCATCATTACGGAAGAGACGGCATCGTTAATAGGTACACTTGAATGAACCCATATAAATTGTAAGTAATAGCAAAATCATCGCAAATCAAGATAAATTATTTACCCAAAGGAATCAAATTTAATTCCCACCGATTCTTTTTCATTTATATTTGTGGAAGTTTGTTGGAGTTGGGTGGACTTAAGTATATGCGACAACCAATCTTGATAGCTTTGATTAAGTAAGCGATCAGCTTCATCTATAACCTTATTTCAAGAGCAAGGTGAATAAGCATAAACAAGAGAGTATATATATTGAAAAGTCGTATCGATAATAAACCAACCAAAAATCGTAAATGTTGCAGCGTAAAATTTGGAGTCGTCGAGAGATGTTCAATCAATCGACCAGGTGTGGCAATTAATATGTCCACTTTACTTTTGCCGCCTAAGAAACTATCAGTATTTGAGTATATGACTAATCTTCCGGTAACTTTTCGTATAAAAAATGTCAATTTTTCACTTACTGGCCTTGTAAATCACCAACTATTTGTTCTTGTTCATGAATGAATGATTGTTGACCTGTAACCATTCCAACCTTTCATTCTCAAATTATTAAGAAAATCAAATCTAGGTGTAATAACAAGCTTTATAAATAGTATTCCAACCTTTAAACTCGTGCCTTTACAAAAAGCATCGAAAGCCTCTTTAACTTGAACTACCAAATCTCTTGTGGGAAGAATAACGAGAGCTCTTAAGCGAGTTACAATGCGTTTTGAGAGAATCTATATATAATGCATTTCATAAATCAATAAAGAACATTCCAAAAAAAAAAAAAAGAGAAAGAGAGAGACGAAATTTTTCATAATACAAACATCAATTATTGGTAGCACATATGCAAGAGTTTTACCACTTCCTGTCGGTGCAGATACGCAAATATCACCAGGTGATTTATGAGTATCTGATAGATTCCGAAAGCGTATAAGCAGTGGGATAACTGCAGTTTGTACTGCGTACATAAGGGAAATATTAAATAAACTATAATTAAAGATATTAATCAAATATAAATGTCAATAAGTTATAGAACCTGCAAAGCACTCTTGAATCCCAAGTGTTTTACAACGTTTAATCATTCTCTCAGATAACCCAATGGATGGATGATCAATTGTTTTTGTTAAGTCTGGATCGACAATGGTTGGATTAGCCAACCAATCTGGTATACCCAACAATTTAACGGCTGCAGTTTCTTGTGGTGTTTGCTTCGGCCTATTGAATGTTGGAAACGCTTGCAATGCTGGAAATTTTTCGGTAATTTTTTCTGGTCGTTGCGAAGATAAATTATCATGTGTTGTATTTTTTGATATTTCTTCAGTGGAATCAAGCTTTTGAGAAGAGCCATCCTTTTCATTTATCTTTTTCTTTATTGAGCAACTTTCTTGATCTTCTTCAACTTTCTGCACTTGATTACTTATCTCTTTCTTTATCGAACAACTTTCTTGGTCTTCATCAACTTTCTGCACTTGATTACTTATCCCTTTTTTTATTTGATTACTTTTTTTTATGGATCGTTTTCTTTTGAGTTGAATGCGTTCATTGATCTTTGATAATCTCTCAGTGCTCACAATAGAAGTATCTTGCAACGGATCTTGTTCAATTTCGTATCTTGGTATTTGGAACATCTCATTGAATCGATCGTTAATATAAATAATAGTCAGCTATAATCAAATATAACCCATATAAAAGTAATTAGTTAGTTTTTTTATATAATAAGTTCACTGCTCTTTCGGGTAAAGGCATCAGAAATATTATTAAAATCTCTATCCATCACTACTCCACTCTCATTCCACCTAAACTTTATCTACAATAGGTTATATATAAATTATCTAGGAAGAGAAACTTCACATGAGCAGCCTTTCATAAAGTTCTATTTCATGTGTAACATGATTTTTAGACTTGAAACAATGTTTAGCAAGGGAATCTCGGCATATTTCAGTCTCGCTATTAGAAAAGTAATTCTGCGAGAATTGCAAATTTTGTATCATGAATCTAAGAGATCATGTGTGAATTGTGTAGTCCCTCCCTATAGGTAACACAACTTCTAACCCCTCGATTACTCGCTTCTCTTTGAAGTTGTTTCTACTTTTGATGTCTAAATTAACTCAGACCGATGATACTTGATGAAGATTGCATTGTTTTACACTTTAAACTCGTGAATGCATGTAACTTTTTGGAATAGCGGTGGTTAGAGATTCGAATTTGAATTAAATATAAAACTCTGAAATGTCCAAATTCGAAACCAATCTGTCTATACTGGCGAGACACAATCAACAATATTTTAAATTTTATAAAACTTACCTTTGCAACGCCAGTGACGAAGAGTGAATGGAAATAAATTTAAACCGTTAAAATTAATTGACAACCATTGATTGGTTATCAAAATCAGTGTCGATATGTGTAACTTAGATAATGATAAAAGATCAATTTCTTACTGTTATACGACGTACAAACATGCGCGAAGAAACGAAGGTTTATTTCTTATAAATTTTTCGGGTACAATAATATATTCAGAACATTTTATAAATATTTTTTTATAGGAAAAAATAATAAAAGCAATCGAAATCGCTAAGTCAATAGCGCATTGGGGTTTTATTCCGTTCATACTATATCTTGGTATATAGTTATTTATTCTACGTGTATATTACTTTTTGTTATTAAAAAAAATGACTTCTCATACATTTTAATATAATAATAGGGTTTACTAGAAGTAATCCAAAACCCTCTCTGGTCAGGTAAGACCATTGAATGATGAGCTCATTCCTTTTTTTTACGTTCAATAATTCACGAACTTATTCTTCATAATACGCTTTAGGATGATCCCTTTAGCTTAGTTCACTATTCTTATGTGGTATTTTTTTATAATATTTTTAAATTCTGTTTATGGATCGAAACTAAATACACATAATTTATTGCATTGTTTTATTGCAATCCATTAAAGCTAGGGATGGAAAATAGTCTGAAAAAACAGGTTTTATTTAAGGACGTCCGAATCTAATTCGAAATTATAGTTCAAAATAAATTTCTAAAAGATCGTTCGTTCTTAAAGACTTAAGTCTCCAACCATTTTATTTCAAGTAAAAACAATTGGTAAAAAAGAGAATATTTAAAACAAAACATAAACTCAAATTTTTCTAAATAAATTTAATAAAGTTTGGTTTTAAAATACTAATTTAAACACCACGTAAAAGACTATATGATAAACTATCTGTAAATATAGTTAATTCTGAACTTTTTTATAACGAATTCAGTATAGAAACATAACAAATTATATACTCTATAATGAACTTTTGAATTTTTTTTACTATAAAAACTATAAATAGAATTGACTGTAGAATATCGATATGGGCCCTCAAAAGTAGAAACCAGGGAATTTGATATTTTTTTGAAAATTAACCTATTTAGATCAATTTAAATTTAAAAAGTAAGTTGTCAATATAGCAGGTTGTGATATCGCAAGTTAATCTTTAATAAAAAAAATTAAAATTAAAATTCGGATTAGTTAGGGTTAGGGTTCGAGCTAGTATTAGGCTTAGGTTAGAGGGCATATATATATGCAAAATTAAGAGCTGAAAACTTTTAATTAGAAGCCCAAGACCAGTTTACATAATAAAATTTTAAGATATTTAAAATTTTTCGTTTTTGTTACAAGATCCTGTGATCTAATTGGTCGGTCATATTAACCTGCGATATATCATAGCAACCTGCGATATTTAACAACATTCCTGCATTCTTTAAAAAAAACGCACGTAAAGTTAATTCAATTTTCCGGGTCTCCAACTTGAATTAGATCGAACTATTTAATATATTGTTAGGCCGTTTGAATTTAAAAGTCCCCCCCCCCCCCCCCCCCCCCCCCCCCCCCCCCCCCCCCCCCCCCCCCCCCCCCCCCCCCCCCCCCCCCCCCCCC